GTAAGGGAAGAAGAGCAGGGTGTCCCTTCCCCTCTCTCCCACCCCCCCCCCCCCCCGTCACTTTATTTTTTGTAAAGTAATTGCTTTCACCCCTGTTGGTGACCTGGGTAGATTTAATCACACCATCTTCAGCCCTGGCCAACTGAATCAAATTGGTCGAATTAACAGCGGTTCACCTCTCCCTCTCCCTACGTGTGTGTGTTGGTGCCGGTCCTTTCACACACACACAACAGTGGCTCAGCTGTAGTCCTGCATGCCTCAGTTGGCACAGTGCGGTGCTTGCTAAGCTAAATTCATGGGTTCAGTTCCTGTCGAGGCCCAGACCTGGCAGAGAAACTGAGACTATATTAAAAATCGATTTCAGTTATGTTACAAAATGCAACATCAAGGGTGGGAGTAAAGACTTACTATTGTTGAGTACCTTCACTGTGTGCTGAGTCATTTTTTTTTTTTAGCTATGCTGGCTCTAAGGATGCAATGTTGGTCTGTCGGTTGGTTGGCAGTCCACCACTTTGGTCCAAATTGAAATATTTAAATAATTCATGGTTCCATGGACGCACTATCATCAGGTCAAAATTGTCCAGTACTTAGGTTTATTAAAAAAAAAAAATAATAATAATAATGACATTCCCAGCAGCCTCAGCTTTATTTTGTGTGTAATGTGAATTGGCAAACGTTAGCATGCTAACACACTAAACTAAGACGGTGACCATGGTAGAGATCGAAGGGGCCCGTGGTTTTTAGAGTGAGGTGTCGCAGTTGTTAAATCCAAAACGTGGTCTGCAAACTGTGTGTGTGTGTGTATGTGTGTGTGTGTAGATGTCTCCCTCTCCCTGTAAAGATGCTCCGGTGTGTACACATTGATGCCTTTACTCCTCACACGAGGACAGTGTGAAAATGGAGGCGGCAGAGCTGTCCTGATTTAGCGTTGCCTTCTGTCCTGTGCAGGCTTGCCAACATGCGGACGACACAATAACAATCTAAGAACATAAACAGGCTCCATTGCAGTTTTGTTTTTTCTCTCTCTCTCTCTCTCTTTCTGTTACACTGACACTGCACTGGAATAATTGAAAATATTTGTAAACCAACCTGCTAGCAAACCTAAAGCATATTATTGTGAAAGTCCCGTATAGCAACCGTGTCCTGACAATTAGACATGTACCAAGGCCGGTTCCAGGCATGCCCCATGTGCCCTGGGTCAAGAATATAAGTATTTCATTTTCGGCTGCCGGCCAAACAGCTGGCTACCAGGGGTTACGTAACCTTTGATTGGTGGCAACATTAGTCAACTATAACTGATCACCCTATCAAATGTTAGACGAGCTTTGGGACTGATATGTTGATAAATCCCCAGCCTGAGAAGTGCTGCGTCAGAGCGCTGTGCCGTTACACATGGCCGTTCACTGTGTTTTCCTTCATTAAATCTCCTAAAAAAACACCAGCTGCTCCAGTATTTCCATGCAGACCTCTCCACACATCAGAATGGTCGGTAATAACTAGATATGATGCTTTTTTATGAAGGAGTTACCAGGTTACCAGGGCTTATCATAGCCTCTTTTCCAACTTTCTTTTTTAGCAAAAGTAGCGTCTCATGTTTTAGGGGCGGGGTAAAGCCTTCCTCGCTAAGTTGGCGTTATCCTGGTTAACCGTGATTGGCACTGCTGTTTCAGAGCAATGGGATCAGTGATGTGAGCATTTAGGTGAGGAGTATATCAACAGATAAGACAAAAGGGTGAGAAAAGATACCACCCAAAATCTACAGACTGTGTGAGCCAATAGCCATAAGAAGCCTAATTCTAGTTTCAGTATTTCACCACATGTTAACGATCAGGTGGGCAAACTCATTAAAATATGCAATAATACAGATCAGTGTACAATGTGCCAGATGGCAAATTTGGACTTTAACGGCCACATTTTTTTTCAGCGGGAAGGTGGGAATCATACCAACGGACCCCAAGCAGGCTACTCCATATCCTTGTGGTTACTGCACACAGCCTACCTGTACTCGTTAGAAGATAGCTTTAGATAAAAAGATAAAAGAATGTGCTTTAGAAGTTACAGGCCTTAATAACCTAATAACTTCATCTTCATCTTGAGCCTGTCATGTACCTGGTAAAGCCTGAATTAATAAATAAATAGCCCACAGTGGGTTAATGTGTGACTAATATCTTCGCTAGAGGAGAGTCAGCCCGAAAGACGCGGTTATTTAAACAATGTGTGGAGATTAAAACAATGACGCGGTACGTAACACACTAATTCATTAGAACGGGATTACCTGTTCAAGTTACTTATGGGAAATCAATACTCACCACCCGGACGACAAAGGACTTCATACACAAACATGCACCTACATACACAGACGCGCTACGGTAAATATCACAGACAAACCTCTGCCTGGCTCCTGAAGCAGGTATGAAGTGCTTTATTTAAACAGGGATCAGGGATTCTCGTAAGGAAGCTAATCTCCTCATAAAGCTAACCCCTCAATCAATCCTTTTACCTTTCTTTTCTCACATAGGCCGGAGACCCTCCTGGGCGAGAGGATGTGTTGATCACATGGTTTGTGACTTCTACAATGAAATCAACACAATCTCTGCACTGATAACTGCAATGCGCAAATGAGAAAAATATATAGAATGAATTTGGCTCCAGTGTTGTTTTCTTTGCATTCAGACAAATTGAGTCAAAATTGCAAATACAGCGCAAAGTAGCATCTTTTCGTCCAATATTAAATCTGCGTAATCACAACAAAAGACGGTAAGGACAGCATTTTATCTGACAAAAAAAAACTAATTTCCAGTTTAAACTCGCCAAGAGAGGCCAGGCTCTTTCAGGTATAAATCAGTTTGTAGGATGTTCAGTGTGACAGCAGCACAGACAGGTGCTTCTGTCCAACTCACTTTTGACCCACTTGACAGACAAACAAATGCAACACGTGAAATGAGGCAGAATATAAATTGAGAGTTCTGATTTAGATCATAAAGAATGACAAAAAGATGACAAAAAATGCAACCTGACACGTTTTAAACCCGGAGGTAACATCTGAGAGCACTGACCTGGTGATCTTGTCGGTGCAGGACATGGTGATGAGCTGCTCGCCTTGTAAGACGCCGTCCCACGTCTGGACGGGCCCCCGACCTCGCACCGGCACCGTCCCCTCGCCTGACTCGATTTTGGTCCGCAGGTGGCCGCGGTGCTTTCTCATGAGGTGTCTGCTGCTGTGTACTGCACAACACAACACACACAGCCACAGACTGAGCTTCATCAGTCTACATTATGTCATTTCTTATTACACGGCTACGCTGGAAACCCAATCTAATTAGCTGTTAATGAAGTCTGTTATTTCTAAATAACACAAAGCAGTTCCAGATCTAATCACATCAATACGCGGCAAAGATTCATTTTGTAGACTTCTAATCAAATTTACCAAAAATGCACCGGGCCACAAAGACACCAGGTGAACTCAAGTGGAAACAGTCAACATTTGTCCAGCATTGCTTTTTATATATTTTAGAAAATAATCCATTATATAGTACACATTAGCTCTTAAGTGTTACATTCTCCGTATAATTAGGGATGTTCTCCGGGACTAATTATTGGTGTTGATGTGTAACTAGCTCCATTTAATTAGAAAAAGAAATAAACGTTCATCAAATATTATGCTAAGCTGACAAACAATAAGACACTACTGTTATGTATTTGAATAAGATGACGGGTACAGTTTTCCAGAGAAAGGGCAAACATTGCAATTCCTTTCAAAGCAAAAGTTTAAATGAGGTTAACAGCTTCATTTGGGGAATTAAACGTATTATCTTGGGACCGTTGACTGCCTAATTGTTAATGAAGTGAGCGTTTGACTGGATTGTTGCTGGATGTACGGAGCAGCCTGCGGTTTGGAAGGAAGGAGAAGGAACCGTTTTACTGGATAAAGCAGCTTTGATGCAGCCTTGATGAACTTGGGACACTTTATATTAGGATATATATATATTATATATGACGGAGTATTGTATGAATAACCAACCACGCTAGTCAGAGCACAGTCCATTGATCTGTGTAAACCACTTTCATGTGGTGTGTGCACGGCAGCATGACCTCTACGAGCAGTAATATTGTTAATTAAAGCATACGATATTCGTAAATAGTCTGCATAGTATCAGATGAAGAAACTCCACACATTCAGGAAGAAGGAAACATTCACATATATCTTATAGACATTGTATTTCTTGCTTTCAGTACAAATTACAATATGTACAGTATATCTCCCATAAGGTGACAAAGTATACATAAATAATCACGTTTCTTGTTTTAATAACCTCTTACTTCTCGAGGCTTAAACTCTCCTTCCTGCACGGCTGTTGCTTCGGCTGATGTGACAGCAGCTAAAAATTAAGCCCCGACTTCCAGCTCAGAAATGTTTAAGAACAGTCAGGAAAAGGTACTTAGTAATTTTCTAATCTCTGAGAGCGCACTGCAGAGCATTTAAGAGGTTTAATGACCACAAATGTCAAGTTCAAAGGCTTCTCCGGTGACAGCATCAGCATTTCCCTCCTCACTGGTGTCATGAAAATCTCACCATGCGCTGCACTGTCGTGTATATTCATAGAGCTGAATAGCAGCTTCAGTCTGTGATGAAAGGGTGTGGGGGGGGGGGGGGGGGACACCTTAAACCCACAATTGAGAAAAGGGGGGCAAAACAAAC